TTGAACCACTAGCCTTCTGGTTAGCAGTCAAATGCCTTAGGCACTACATCACCAGAGCTCCCTTTCCTGTAAAAGAGGGGTTAAATTGACCTTCTTGCTCTAGAAAACAGAGCAAAGATCAGTGAGTAGGATTTATAGAGAAACAGATTTGTGACTCAGAGAAAGGATAACTTCTGTAAAAATTAAGCTGGCCCATTGACAGAGTGAAGTTCTTTGTTAAGCAGTGAGTTCATAGATCCTGGAGGTGCTCTAGAAGAGTATAAATGACCATCCATCTGAGATGCTGTTGAAAACATTCTTAAAGATAGAAAACCTCGGGTTTGATACCTTTTCCTGCATTGTGAGTCTGGAAAAATTATTTAACCATCTGAGTCCTTGTCTTCTTATCTTTAAAACGAGGATAACAGCATTGACTGGACAGGTTGTTGAGAGCATTAAATGAGACACCCTGTGACAGCACAGTGCCTTCAATATTGGGTGCCTTTCCTTTCTGTCTGGATGGCTGTTTAGACCAGACAATTTTCAGGTTCATTCCATCTCTATGATTCTAAGAATGTGCCATACTCCATTGAAGGGAAACTTCAGCCTTTTGATCAAAACAAGTTTCCAGGTTATCTATGGGTTTAATTTACCCTCATTAAGTCTGTTCTTATTAATCTGAATAAATCAGAATAAAATGACTCAATTTCCCTTCTCCCTCTAGCCACCACTATCACTACCTACACACAAGCAATAATAACAAAAGGGCTTTTGGTTGAAATAGGAAAGAAGGTTTTCTCTATGGACATCAATGCTGTAATAACATTAAATCTAAACTGGTGGTTCTTCAGTGGTGCTGCTGCACTTAGAATCATCTGGGGAGATTAAAAAAAACTGCCCTGGCTTAAGCCATACCCTAAATAAAGTAAATCTGAATCTCTGGGGGTAAAGATCTGGAATCAGTATTTGTTAAAAGCTTCCATTATGTGATTCTGTTTTGGAGGAGGAGTTGAAAACCAGTGGTTTAGATGCATCTTAGGCTCCTTTCGGTTGTTCAATAATCTTGTCGTGCAGCTTAATTCTCTGAAGATACACTTTGTGTATCTGATGTGCAGCCATTTATTTATTAAATTTTGCTATGCTGGGTTTTCATTATTGATTTTAATGTAGGAAATGAATGCCAATTTTTTTTCCTGCTAATTGACCACTAACATCAACATGTGTCGTTACCAGCTCTCTATGCTCAGGAAGATATGTGAAGATTGATGGTACATATGTGGGCTTCCACACCGCCCCCCTTTTCTCCTCATTATCTGGAGGTCTAGGAAAACTATAAGCTTTTTATAAATGGCCAGTCTGTTTTGTGTGCTCATTTTTTCCAATCATGGATTGAAGAATTTCAGGAGTGGAAATTAAAGTCTCCCCTCAAAGCATATGGGCCAGTGGGGTACCCTTTTCTTTCCTGTTTGTCAGGATAGAGAGAAGACAGCAGAGGCCACCAGCTCTAACAACTCTGCCCATTTGCTTGGAATTCTGAGATTTTCCTGACACTCTGAGGCAGGGCTGTGACCTTGAGAGCTGTCGAATTTGATTGAAAAATCGGTGTACTTTGAGTGAGCAGATTAGGCATTTCATTATAGCTGGTAGCTGACTTGGGTGCTGATGTAAATCATCTCAGCTACTTGAAATGACCATAAGTTAAGTGATAGTGGTGT